TGAGTCAACGGGCATTTTAATAAAAACGTTTCGAGGAAGTGAATCGTAAGCTGGATTTTGGCGGTAATCTCCCATTCTCATATAGACTCGAGATCTAGATCGCGGTACAGATTATTTAAGCCCATCTTTACCACCATCCATTTTACGGCATGGGCGTCAGAACATGGCTATATTTTTTACTTATTGGGTGCTGTGTGTGTGTGTATCAGTAAAACAATGAAGTCTTCAGTTTAAGTGATCTCTAAGAGTGATTAGACCACGAACAGGATCCGCTTGCACTCCGAGCCACCGATTCTTTGTGAAGAACAAAGCCAAAAGGCTAGACCATCTTTTCCGATTTTCGACGGCTTGTTTTAGTCTCTTCGTCCTCCAGATACACACACGCTGGCGGGGTGTCAATATCTCGGCTGTATGGCGTCATTCGATCACCTTCGGAGTCTTCCTCTTTTCTCCAGTCGGCCAGTCCAAATGTTGTCTCTGTCTCTTCTTCACTCTCCTCGTCCACCTCTTCGTCGTTGAACTCACCCACGTCGACATGGCACTCCTTGAGATCACTCAAAGAGGATCGAGAAGTGGCTCGAGAGTCCACATCTTCGGGTGTGTCTCGACTGGTCGTCTTTTTAACCGCCTCGGCACCAAACAACCCCGGCTGCGTTTCAACCACAGGAAGCGGTACCACAGCTTGGTCGCCAACTCCAGACGCGTCGCCTGGCAGAGCCATGTCGCCAGTCGGACTTCCCTGTCCTTTCGTCTCGCTCCTGTTCGACTTGGACGTCTGGTGTAGGCCGATCTTGTGGCCGATCCACGTGAACTTGTTGGTCAGATCCTCTTGCACCAGGTTCAGGCACATCGACAGCAAAGCCAGTCCGAAGATGGCGTAGATGGCTCCTAGCACCAGCTCCGTCACGGTTTCTGGCTGTCGAGTTGGACAAGTTTAGAGAGTTGGAATCGGGTTTGTGGTGATCAGTTACTCGGTGACATATGACTATGGCTATGATGGTATTCGAAATATGAGATGTATTCACCCAATTTCGTGTAAGGTGATGAAGGACTGGTAGTTGAATTTTCCCACAATCATATGTGAGTAGAGCTGACGTTTCTATTCAATCTCACATTGCCTTGCTTTCCCAAAAGTTGTTCCCATCAAGGCAGAAGTGGACTGCAGTTTCGACCTCGCATCGGTCTTATCAACACTCTCAGCGGGAGTCGAACCGTGACAGTGCAGAATGGGAATTTGACACGTTAACCAATGTGGTCGAGTGGTTAACTTGTCAGGCTAACATTCTGCGCTGTCACGGTTCGACTCCCGTTGGTAGTGTTGATAAGACCTATGCGAGGTCGAAATTTTAGTCCACTTCAGCCTGGATGAGAACAACTTTTGGGAAAGCATGGCTCTGTGAAATTAAATGGAAACGTCAGCTCTACTCATGTCATTGTGGGAAAATTCTTCTACCAGTCCTCCATCACCTTAAACGAAATTGGGTGAATAAATCTTATGTTATTTATTTACTGGTAGTTGCAAACTCTACTTACATATGTTTGTCGGCCTGGATCGCTTAGGGCGTTTTAAGGACGAACAGTGCAATTTCTCCCACAACCCGGCCGGTCCGTCTCACGCCTCGGTTGGTTTCCACTGGCTCTGCTGACCAAAAGGACTTCAGTCTCGACGGAACGGTCAGTCGGTGAAAAAGCCAAGGTGACCTTTACACCAATCCAGGCATCTTCCAGATACTACCGAACATATCGTTGCCACGTGTCGCCAGGATGCGCACAACTCGGGTTCTCGTCCCGTCAGTCTTGCTGATGCGGCCAATACGAGGTTAAAGCTGTCGTCAGGACTATTTATTTTGCGGCAGGGCTAAGCGAAATGCGTTGGCCCACTCATTTCGTTGATCAACGTCTTTACTGTACGTCCCTAAATCATCATAAATGACCCATTTTGACTAATTTCTAATTTAAGCGTTGCTGATGGCTTGGAAGTATTCTAATACGGATCGTAGCTTGAGTTCTTTTGCCGTTAGGAGCTGATGTACACTTGCTTTTGCACAGAAATTCGTCCACAAATGTCTGTCCCGTTGGGTCACACCTTTTAAATGAGGCAAACATTTGTCGGATCTTTCCTACTACTAAATTAGCCAAGGCTCTTGACCCAACGTCCAGGTTGATGCAGCCCACGAGACATTCTCCAACGTTTCGGCCGAAGACGGACTGGGCTTTCCTTTGTCATGTGACGAATACTCGTTCAACAGACATGTCAAGCTCATCCGCCAAAATGGACGTGCGGGGCTACCCAATCCCAGCCAAGCCTGCTTGGGCCATTAAACCTTAATAACCCAATTTAATGGGTTCGGACTGGTGGTTTCGCAACATGACTTTCATGCGTACACACTAACATATCGTCAATTTAAACAGGTTTACTTACAGACTAGCGCAATCTCGGTCATCGTTTTTTTCATTTATCTTTTCCTTCGGTCATTTAGCCTTGATGACCCGAGCCCGTTGTTAAGCTCTCGGTTATAACCGGTTTTGTGTATATACGTTAACATACATACACACAGAGACACACTCCAGTATACGTGAATTAACTCAAACTTTATATATTCATCTCTATCTTAGATTTTTCTCGCATTGGGCATATATATCATATAGAAAAACGTCGGTCAGTCTTGACTTAGTGTTAATTTGAGGCTTTTGCAAGTATGTATCTCAGTTCTGACGATGTTCATCATGTGATATGACGAACTAAAGCTCGGCCCATCTTCGCCCGAAACGTTGGAGGATGTCTCTTGGATTGCATCAATCCGAACATCATATTAAGGCGAAACGGCTGCCGACGTATAGTGAGATTGACCTGCGAATCTCTTCATCATGTACTTGCATACGAAATGTAAGTCTTCACATCAATCTTATCTCAGAAGATTCTTCAAAACCCGTATTTTCTTCGTATAAGGCTCACTTCCTTCGTAAGATTTTCTAAACCACTCCATTAGTACCAGAATTAGTAAGGTATTCAGACAACCTAAGCTCGGTGACCTATCTCTGCCAGTTAGACACCAACAACAACCCCCCCAATCTACTTGTACATGCATGATTCTATTTCAATTTATCAGGAGTAGTTATCGGCGGAGAGTTCATTTAATTTTCTTCTTGGTGTGTAGAAGCATTCTCGCAGCTGATCGTAACAAAAAGTTGAAGGAAAACACTTCATCATAGCATACAAAAAGTGCCCAGATGACAGACTGGTTTGCTTGTCAGAAAATCGGAGACAACAGCTCTATATGAATTCACTTGAGTAAGGCAATCCTGTATTCAATGTTATTCACCTCAACTAGAAATCCTTCAGGCTAGGTTGCTTAACGTGATTTTAGGACGAATATTTTTATCAAGAAATCAGACCAGTAG